CCTGAGCTTTAGTTTGAGAGCCTAAAGAAACATCCTTCCTTTAGGTATCAAGGTTTTGGTTTTAGGAGGTTCTGAACTTGGATCTGTGGCTTGTCACATCAAAGACATCTAACATTTGGCACATGTCTTGACAGAGAGATCTTTTGTTTGCTACAGTAACCCTTCTGGCAGTGGAATTCTGCTTAACAGTAGAGGACTGCAGATTTATTCTGCCTTTTCAGTTGACTTTCCATTCCTGAGAACTGGGGAAAACTGATTTTATATTTGGGCTTTGATTTGTCCATTTGTTAACCCATCACACCAGATCTAAATGGCTGCCAAGAACTCTGCTGGCTTCTCTTTCTTCCAGGGTGGTCACTTTGCTGGGCTCATCCTTATTCCTCGGCCTGCAATTTATCCCCAGGAAAGAAAATGGCTAATGATCAATAAAAAGCAGCCTTTACCTTCGGAAATTTTAGTCCGTCTAGACCTTACTGCTATCTGATGTCTTTAAAATGAGTTTGTCATGGTAGAATTTTTTTAGTTGACTCAGGAGTATTGCCTGCTGTGACCTATCAGATCCCACCTGGAAGAAGTCCTCTTTGCCAAATGTGAAGAAATCTGGCATCAGTACATACTGCAAAAACAAGATTTGAGATTACATTTACTATGGAGTGTAAGGCAGAAGAAAAAAAAATTAGCCAGTTTCTGGGCTGTAACCATAGCTGTTGGTACAGTTCAAGACGAGAGTCTACCAGATGGTCTGATGCAGACTGGCAGGGGGGAGGGCTGGGGTGAGGGCCAGTGCGCCATCATGAGTTAGTTTGCTCTTACTTTCTTATTTATGAAAGCAAGGTCTAATGCAGTTTACGGTCATCTCAAACTCGGCTTTGTGAAAACTCAGCTCTGCGGATGACCTTGAACTTCTGATCCTCCTGCATGCTGGCATACAAGCATGGGCTATCAGGAGTGGCTTACAATTTTAGACTTTCAATACAGAATAGCTCTGTAATGGTTGGCGTTAACTAACAACTTGACATAACCAAGAATCATCAGGGAAGAGTCTCAATGAAGTGACTGCCCACATGGGAGTGGGCTAGAGCATGTTGGTAAGGGGTTATTCTGACTGTTGATTGATGCGGGAAGACCCAACCCACTTTAGCAGCACCATCCCTGAGCAGGAGGTCTCAGGTAGTACAAAGAGGAGAAAGATTGCTAAGAGCGAGCAGGCAAGCAAGCCAGGATCCATGTATTTATTCTCTGTTTTTGACTGTGGATATGATGCTGCCTGGACTTCCCAGAAATCATGGACCATACCCTGGAATTGCAAGGCAAATAAACCTTTTCCTCTTTCAAGTTGCTTCTGCTAAGATAGTTTATCACAGCAACAGAAATGAAATTAGAACAGGCCCATAATTTTCCAGGTTTGGAACTGAACTCAAGACTGTTGGAATTCAGTAAAATAAGGGACCACTGGAAGGGATTCTGATTTTGATTGCAAAATCATGTGTTTATTTCTGGATATGTTAGATTTATAGATTTGAGTCTCAGAAAAGAGGTCAGAGCTTGAGATACATTTTAAGGACACTTCAGAGAAAACTGATGTCTGAAAACAACTACCTCAGTTGAGAGTACAAAGTGAAGAGGGAAGAGAGCTCAGGCTGGAGTCCAGAACTCCTCTATTAAACAACCCAACAAATCCTCCTCTTTAAACATTCCTGCCAATGCATCAAATATTCAAATGATTCTTGTTATTTATTACATTTTTCTGCTAGCAAAGCAGATTGATTTATCTAGGAAAAAGTCTGCTTATTATCCATACTTTCATCAGTTCCTAACATTTCTGAAATTCTGTAAAGGGAATCCACGGATTCCACAGACCGCTTAGACAGTTTCCAGTTTTTTCCAAATTGTAGGTCATGATTCAGTGGGTCATGAAATTAATTTAGTGGGTTCTGATTAGCATTTCAAAATGAGGTAAGCAAAAGGCGAATTGTCACAGCACAGCGCAGGCAGTGAGCATCCGCACATTCTCACTTGGTGTCTGGACCAGTTTTATGGCTCTAAATGCCACAGAATCTCCCAGGTCTGGATCTCTATCCCAGGCCTCTGCCCGAAATTCCAAACATATTGAGACATCACCCTTGGGCATGCACCAGACACATGCAACTCAAATCTGAAGCGTGGATTTTCTTTCCCCGTCTGGGGTTCCCAGGTGGTTATGCAACACATGTCAAGAGCCATTACATCTCAGAATCCAAACGCTTCTTCCCACCCTAACGGCAGCCATGCTGGACGAGGTCCGACTTCTCACTGGGGTTACTGCACTGGCTTCCCTGCTACTACCGTGGCTCCTTCCGAAGACACAGGGGTTCTTTAAAACAGGGCTCTGGGCCAGTCAGATTGTTCAGACCTAAGGCACTTCCTGCCAAGTCTGACAACCTGGGTTTAATCCCCAGGACCGGCATGGTAGAAGGAAAGCACCAACTCCCCAAAGCTGTCCTCTGACGCCCACACGTGAACTGTGGCATGTGCCTGCATGCACATACTATACACATAGACACAAAAGTAAAAAAAAAAAAAATCAATAGAAAGTCATTAAAAAGAAAAATCAGGGCTCAGCAAAGTTTTCACATAGAAGGCTAATGTACTTAGGCTTTGTAAGCCAAGAAGTAAATATTAATTATAGTTACTCATATAGCAAGGCGATTTCTAAAAATATAATAGTAGAGTTTAAATTTTTTGTAATGTAAGTCTACTGGTGACAACAGCGGTATTATTTCCTTTTTAAAACTTTTTATTTATAATTACTACTAGTAGCAGTGTGCTTGTGTGTGTCCACACTCCACCGCATGTGTGTGGCGCTCAGAGCACAACTCTGAGGATCTCTCCTTCCACCTTTGCGTGGGTTTCAGAGATTGAACTCAGGTCATAAAGCTTGCATAGTGGGTCGTCGGGCTTGCATCCTAGGAAGGCAAGGATTTTACTTGCTGAACCATTACCAGCCTTTTTTATTTATTTAAAAACAACAATAACAAAAAATGTCATTTTGCTTAATTAGGGTTCAGGACTAGTGCTCCTTATCTTACAATCAACCGCAAATGTTTATCCAGCAAAAACCATTCTTCGCTGTGGTCCTAAGAGAAAAACATACAGTTGGATGGCTTTATCCTGCAGGCTTAGTTTGCTCATCTCTCTTTGAAAATATAATCAGCTCACATCACTCTCTCAAGCCTCTGCCAACCAGTTTTTTATTGCTGTTTAACAAACTAGCCCAGCTGAGCGGCTGCAAACAATAGTCCTTTATTACCCTCACAGTCCTGTGGGTCGAAGCCCAAGCAGCCATGGCTGCCTCTCTGCTTAGGTTCGCACAGGGTGAGAACCCCCTTCGAGGGTTTGGGAAAGAGTCTTCCTCCAGGCTCACTAGGTTGCTGGCAGGAGACGGTTCCTGGGATTGTCGGAGGTCCTTACTTCCTTGCTGGCACGATTTGAGCCGCCTGTGTTCCCCAATACTCACTGTGACTTACACCGCCTGTTTTCCCCCGACTCTCTCTGACCTTCTGTTGTGATCCAGGCTATCCTTTTTGCTATGGCTTGAACCTACTCCGTACACCCACACATTCACATCCTTTCCTGGCGATCATTGTTATTTGCCCGTTTTCATTCCATTTTTAGTGTATGTGTTGCCATTTTGTTGTTGTTGTTTTTCACATAGAGTGTCAATATGTTGCCCTTGCTGGCCTGGAACTCTCTACATAGATCAGGTTGGCCTTTAACTCAAAGAGCTCTACCTGCCTCTGCCTCTAGAGTACAGGGATCAATATTATTGATTGCTTGGCAATCGATATTACTTACTGAGTAAATGGTCAAGTGGTGGGCAGCACTCTAGTTCCTAAGACTCAGAGAACATGGAGGAAAAGGGAGTGCAAAGATTCTAGGAGCCAGAGGATCAGAAAGTCTGCTGTGAGAGACTGTATCTCCTAGAAATGCCAGTCTCGGTAACATGGCTGCCTAAACAAGACCTCGGTCTTGTGTGTATAGGTTAACTGGAAAGAGGAAAAAATTAGTCACAAAAAACTACAAGCAACTAAGGAATGTTGGGAGTGGGAGAAAGTCTTCTCCAGTGAACTCCCCATCAATACCAAGTTGAAATGATATACATACAAGTAACAGTATAGGGAATGGGCATGTTGTTTTCACATGTTTAGGAACACACACATACACCACAACGTTTGAAAAAAAAAAAAAAGAGGCCATGAATTTGATAGAGATCAAGAGCAAGGTAGGGAGGGGTACATGGGAAGGTCGGAGGAAGGAAAGGGAAGGGGAAAATGATGTAATTATATTTTAGTTTCAGAAAAAAAATTAAAAAACAGTATTTACTGAATAAATGAAACTTGGGGAACTACACTGTTTTCTACACATGCACATGTTTAGCCGTTTGTGAGGTAAAATGTCTGTCTTACTGATGAATGCAGTCCATAGAATCAGAATAACTAGCGCTAGACTGTATGATTTCCAGGGTTCTTCCCCCACTTTAGCACCTAACGGGTTTCTATGGGCAGCTACACAATCTGCACCATATCCTTTGAGCGATACCAAGTCTACATCCCAGTCTACACCAAGTACTACAACAAGGATGACACTAAATGACTGAAATATGACACCTACAAAAAGACAAAGGTAGTCATCCTTACCCGTTCCATAGTCACAGACCAGAAAGAAATGCGAAAACAAGCAAGAACTGCTAAATGCCCCATAATATAAGAATATAGCCAGGCACAGTGGCGCACCCCTGAAAGCACTGTGGGAGGCAGAAGCAGGTGAACTCTGTGAGTTCGAGGCCAGCCTGGTCTACAAAGTGAGTCCAAGACAGCCAAGGCTACACAGAAAAATCCTTTTTCAAACAAACACACACACACAAATATATAGATAGATAGATATTTCTTCCATCAAAATGAGACATGACCAGAGAGAATGTTTTCCAGACCAAAATTTCCCCAAAACTTCCATTCACTTACTGAAGATGGGAAGAGGAATGAAGAAATATGTCGCTCAGAGTCTCGGCTGTGGAAATTGTGAGCTGCGTGGACTTCGGGAGCAGAGCCCACTTGTTGAGTAGGTAGGATTCCCATTCATCCATGGGCAGATGCATGCTGCCTCAGCTCTGCAAAGGTAGAAAAGGAGGATTCAGCTTTCTACAAGTGCTCAATTCTAGAAAATTGAGATTTCATCCCAGCAAGTGAGAAACAACAAAAATCAATTCTTCTGGTCTTTTTCTACAGCTGTTGATTTGCTGAAGGAGATCCATGGTACCAACTCTCTGAACATCCTGTCACTCAGAAATATTCAGACTGTTCAAGAAACCATTGGAGGTAGTGGTTAAACAAGTATGAATCAAATAGCAGATGGCTACTATTGCAGTCCTTACCCTAGCTGCCCAAGGCCATCCAGCCTTATCTTCCGTTTTCTGTTTCAATCTCCAGGTCTTTCAGTTCACAGTCTAGCGTTTTTGTTTTTATTTTCAACACAAGGTCTTCCTTCAAGCTCAAAGAACTCTGCCTGCTTTTACCTGAGTGTCACTACTCCAGACCCCCAATTTTTTATTTTTGAGGGTCTCATGTAGTCCAGGCTGCCCTCGAATTTACGGTGTCGTTAAGGATATGACCTTTTAAGTTTTGCTGCCTCCACATCTCAACACCGCAGGCTCTCCAGTACTTCTGCATAGGCCATTTGTGCTTCTGGGAACCTCACTGCCCTCGCTGGAATCCACCTGGCAAATTCTCACACAGACCTGACTTTGTTGAAACTGCATCCCTTCTCGCAAGCCTCCTTGATTTTCCCCCTACTTGGGACTCCACCACATGTGTGGCTCACGTCGCCCCTGCCATGAGGCTGGGCCCTGCGCTGCCACAACTCCCAGGTCCGACTAAGCTCTGCTGAGGGCGGAGACTGAGTCTGATTTACCTGGTTGATTTCACAGTGCCAAGCTCTGGGCCTGGCACGGGCGCAGGGCACGCACAGCGTGGCTGAAGAGCCCAGGTCACTGCTCTGACTATAGTTAGCAGCAGATTTACCGGGGAACAACTCCGACTGTCCCCTGGACTGCCATTCTGTCCATCCGCCAAACTTCCGACAGCTGGCAGGGGACCAACTCAGCGGCACCGCGCAGACAAGGGCGTCCCGCGGCCCAGCGCCCCGCCCTCGGGCGCCGCCGTCCCGCCACTGGGCGGTCACGTGCTCCGCCCGCCCTGCGGAAGCCAATGCGGGCTGCCGGCGCCTGGGCCCGCCCCTCGCGCCGCGCGCACGTCGGGGGCGGGGCGGCACGCTCGGGGGGCTCTGGCCAATCGCTGAGCAGCCCGCCGGGCCCGGCCGGGACGCGCAGGCCGAGCGGAGCGCGAGCGCGAGCGCGGGAGTTAGTGGCGCAGCCATGGTGGGACATTTGAGCGAGGGGGCCATCGCGGTAAGCAGACGGCCCGGGGCGGGGCCGATGGCCCCGGCGGCGCGGGCCTGGAAGCGCTGCACAGCGGCCCGGGGGAGGGAGCCGCTGTCGGTCGGGAGGACGTTGGGGAGGAGATGCTGTAGCCGCGGGGGAAGCCGCCCTGGTCTCGAAGACCCTCCCTCTCCCCACGAGGCATCCCGGCCCCCGCGAGACGAGCTCGCGTTTCTTTTTGTTTGTTTTTGGCTTTTCGAGACAGGGTTCTCTGTGTAGCCTTGGCTGTCCTGGACTCACTCTGTAGACCAGGCTGGTCTCGAACTCAGAGATCTGTCTGCCTCTGCCTCTGCCTCCCGAGTGCTGGGATCACAGTCGTGCGCCACCGGGCCCGGCCACGAGCTCGCATTTCTTCTACCTAAGAAAACAAGACTTACAAACATGCCCCTGTCTACCGTCGGCGGCCTCGCTTTCCTCCCTTTCCCATTAACCTCCAAACTTTGCTGGAGTTGTTTTTCGCTGTTTCTTTCCTTTTCCTCCTCTTAACTCTTTACCCCTATTAGACTTTCCTCTAGTCAGGAGAGAAAACAGCTCCAGTGGCCTCGCAGTAGCCAAATCGGAAGACGTTGTTTCGTTTTCAGTTGAGGTTGTTTGGGCTTGTTGGGCTTCTGTCTTGCTAGTGTTCATCGCTCGCGTTGGCTGCTTTCCTTGTCTTATTTGCAAGGAAATAAAAGTTTCCTCTGTAAACTTTTGTTGACTCAAGGCCCTCTGTTAATTAACGTATAGGCCCTCATCTGCGTGTCAATTACTCATTAATTTCTTCCTTCTGAGCTACCTTTGCTCTGCCCTCTATCCTTAAAGTCATCTAAATTGAACACATCTCAGAGCAAATCCGTTATGTCCCCAAGTCTGGATGTTTATGTACAAGTATGTGTGTTTATGTACATGAGTGCATTGCCTTGGAGGCCAGAGGACAACTTTATGAAGTTGGTTCTCTGGCTGCTTTTCTCGGGATTCTGGGGGTTGCTCGTAGCCAGGCTTGCACAGCAGGCACCTTTAACCTCGGAGCATTACCCTATGTTGTGCCTGAGCCTGGGTGCTCGCATAACAGATCTATGCGTCATCTGCCTTCTATCCACACTGGAAGGATCATTTGTTGCCCGAGTCAGCACCTCTCTTCCCACCGTCTCTACCCACCATCCCCCGACAGACCTTGTCTGTCTTTCTGTTTTTTAAAAATATATCCTTGCCCTGGAGGCCATTGGTCATGGTTTCCATTTCTTTTACTAACGGAACTTTCCGGTGCAGCTCAGTTGTTACTGAGTTGGTTGGTAAAGTAACTAGACTGAATCTATTAATTTTGAGATTCTGATTCCTTTTTGTTCACTTATAACACGTGAGGCTTTGGGCAGCATTCTGAACTCTTCCCCTTGTCTGTTAAATGAGGGTGATATAGAGAACCCATTACCCAGGGCTGGTTGGAGGATTGAGTTTCTGAGTTTAGTGTTTAGCGCCTGATAGTGCAGCTATCACAGATGTAAGTGTACATTTATTTGATTAATATTCACTACTTTGTGTTTCCTACACTAAGTTTTAGAGACTGAGCCTGCACCCACTTCCGGTCCCCACCCCCAACCCCCTTAGAGTGATAGCCCTAATACTTGGAAGATACTTACAAGCTTTAGGTGCCTAGTGTTTGCTGGTTGTATGAGTGAGTGAAACAATGGAAAGAAAGGGACAAAAGTGGAAGGGAGAAAAGAACAAGCTTAGAAAATAAGAGGAAAAACAGTAATCAGAAACAAAGGGATAGTTGGATACATTGGGGTTAAATAAAGTGTTGAAACTTGGAATGTGATTTTTGAATTGTCCTGATTAACATTATAGCTTCCACCTTTTATCCTTCAGACAAATTACAAGTGATTCCTTACTTTTACAAATTATGTTCATAGGGTTGAATAATTTGCTAAGCTTTCTTAAATATAAAACATTTTAGAAAGTCCTATTTCCAACATTAGATCAAGTATTACTTATACTTTGTTCATAGATAAAGTTGTGGGGGGGTTTCTTTTTACATTTTGTTTGTAGATAAAGTGGGGTTTTGTTTTCGTTTGTGTGTTTTAAAGACAGTCCTGGCTCTCCTGAAGCTTATCTGTAGACAGGCTGGCCTTGATCCCAGCACCTGCGTCTGCCTCCCGAGTGCTGGGATTGAAGATGTGCCACCATAACGGGCTCCGCGGTGTTTTCATATGCATCAGTGGTGAGAGTGTGCAGAGCCCAGGTTACCTGGTCATCAGCTAATGAAAGTGTCCTGTTAGCACAAAAGCTTCAAGCCCTAATAGTTACTCGAACAGGAGAAATGGAGGTATTGGGGGCAGAAGTTATGGAAGGAGGCTGTGCCTGGGGCTATTGCGATAAGGAGAAGTCCGAGACTGTTTACTCTCTGTTCCAGAGGCTGGAGATCAAACCCAGGACGGGTATGCTAGGCAAGCACTCCATGGCTACACTAGCCCTCTGGCCAGTCCAGCATGTATATATAACATAATTCAGTTATAGGAGGAAAAGGGCAAGGAAATTAATATTTTTGATGATTTCCAATGTTAGTTATTCTTTTTATTAATATCACATTTAACAAAGATGTTAAAGTGCAAAGAAGTATAAGCTGCCCATGACCCTGATGGTTATATTTTGTTGCTCTGTGGTTTTTATTAGTAATGTTACTTGGAAAATTTAGATGTTTTTCTGTTGTTCTGAGGTGGTTTCTCTCTGTAGCCTTGGCTGTCCTGGAACTCATTCTGTAGACCAGGCTGCCCTCGAGCTCAGAGGCAGAGCTGTCTCTGCCTCCTGAATGCTATGATTAAAGGCAAGTACCACCAACACTCAGCTCTTCAGTGTACTTTTTAAAAAGGTTTATTATGTATATGGATGTTTTCTCTACATGTATATCTGCATACCAGAAGATGGCATTAGATAACATTATCGACAGTTGTGAGCCACTATTTGAGTGCTGGGACTTGAACTCAGGACCTCTGGGAAGAGCAGCCAGTGGTCTTAATCCCTCAGCCATCTCCCCAGCCCAACTTAAAGTACCTTTTTTAAGTTGGTTATTTTATTTAATTATTACTTTATTTACAGTGGTGTTCTGCCTGCGTGTATATCTGTGTGAGGATGTCAGATCCCCTAGAACTGGAATTACAGTTGTGAACTGCCAGGTGGTTCTGGGAATTGAACTCGGGTTTTTTGGAAGAGCAGCCAGTGCTCCTAATTGCTGAGTCTTCTTTCCAGCCCCTAAAGTACTTTGAAGTGTACATGTTATATGTTCCAGAGAAAATTTTACCTTTGTATATTTATGATGCTTTTAAAATTAAGAACAATATTCTGTATGTGGCTTTAAAGTTAAACAGAACAGAACGGTGCTTAATGAAATTATTGACCTTTGCTTTTGGAATTACTTAATGACCTTCACCTTGCCCAGTGTTGTAAAACAGGGTCTTGCCATTGTAGCGTGTGGCCTACCTCATGTCCCCCAGGCTGGCTTCCACCTGTTTTAGTCCTCCTACCTCCCCCTTTTGAGGGTGGGATTACAGGTGTGAGCTGTCACACCCAGGCCAGGTCCATGTGGGCTGCAAGATGGCTCGGTGGGTGATGCACCTACCACCAAGCTTAAGTAATGATCAGAGTTTGATTCCCAGGACCTGCATGGTAGAAGGAGACCAACTTCTGCAAGTTGTCCTCTGGCATGCACGCGTGCACGCGCATACACACACACACACACGATGAATAAAGATTAAAAAACAACATTCTGTGGAATGTATTCATAAGCCAGCTCTTTGTTTTTTCAAGGCAGGGTTTCTCTGTGTATCCTTGGCTGTCCTAGACTCTCTTTGTAGACCAGGCTGGCCTGGAACTCACAGAGCTCACCCTGCCTCTGCCTTTTGAATGCTGGGATCAAAAGCACCACCATGCCGGGCTTCCTAAGCAACTCTTAAGGAGACAGGTTGAAAGTTCAAGGCTAGTTTAGGCTACAAGGTAAGATTCTGTCTCAAAAAGGAAATCAATTAAAAAGTCCAGGCCTGTAGCTCAGTTTGTAGGGTACTTGCCTAGTTTACATAAATCCCTGGATTACTCCCCTGTGCTGTACAGAAGTAACAGGGGGTGGCTGGCCCAGCTCAGTCGTAACGTCAGCACTTGAGAGGCAGAATCGGAGTGGGACTTACCCACAAAGTGGTTTTGCTCTGGGTCATTTTGTTTGGAGACGCAGTCTCGTGATGGTTACAGGTTGGCTTTGAACATCTGGCCTCGGGCATTCCGTTTCCGCCTGCCAAGCGGCTGGGACTACAGGCTTTTATTTTTATTTTTGGGCTATTAGAAATGAAGATGCTTGGAACACTTATATACAGATCTTTATGCATATAAATATTTAAATATATTACATATAAATTATTCATAATATATACATAAATTATGTAATATGTATTAAATGTCTTGTATATGCAAAGCAATCCAGATATTTACAGATAAAGATCTGAAAGTGCAATTTCTAGGTCATATGGTAACTGAATGCTTAATTTGGTAAGAAATCACCAATTTTCCAATGCGTTTGTGAAGATTCCAGTTGCCAGTGCTTGGTGCCACTGTCTGGGTTTTATTGCTCGGATGAGTGTCTAGGTGGAATGCTGGCTCACTGGCTTTATTTGTATTTCCTTGATTAGGAACGACACTGAACGCCCTTCAGTGTCTGTACTGTCCATCTTGTGAAGTGTCCACATCTTTTGTTCTCTTGAATTTGGGTGTTTTCTAGAATGTCTCTCAATGCCAGGGCATTAGGGTGTCAGGAGCTCCAGGCTAGCATAAGCTGCAGAACAAGAGCAGGTCCTAAAAAAAAACAAAAACAAAAACTTGGGTTGTAGCATTAATGAGTTGGAAGAATTTATTTTGTATATATATCTGTCAAAATTACAAATATCACAATTATTTTCTCTTACACTGTGTTGCCTTTTCATTTAAGCTCTTAAGGATAAGGCACAGAGACTCGAGCTAGAAAGAGTCAGCCGCTGAGCTACACCCCCAAACTTGCCTGTCCACCCATGTGCCGCTGAACATCAGCGCAGGTCAGGCAGCCGCTGCAGGAACTGCTTCTCTCCTCTTGCCCAGTGGGACCCAGGTTCAAATTCATGTCACCTGGCCTGTTAGCACGCATCTTTGCCCTCTAAGCCATCTCACAGGCTTCATCTTTTAATGATCCCCACCCTCCCTCTCTCTTTCTGAGGCTTGGTCTCACCAACCCTGGCTAGCCTCAAGTTCACAGAGATCTGTCTGCATCTGCCTCCTGGGTGCTGGGAATGAAGGCATACGAGATGGTGGCTGGAGAGATAGTCACTTAGAAGGAGAGCAGATAACTGTTCTTCTAGAAGAAATAGGTTTAATTCCTAGCATTCAAATAGCCACTCAGAACAGTCTAACTCCAGTTTGCCTTTTTTAAATTGTATTTTTGTATTTTAAATATTTGCTTAACTCTAGGTTACAAATCTTTGTCCCATGTTTTTCTTGTAAAGTTTTAAGTTTTGGTTTCAGACCTGTGAACCATTTCAAGTTAACGTTTAGTTAATTAACTAGTTAGTGTTTATTGTGTGTGCTTGTGTGCAGATGCGCGTGCATGCGTGGGTAGACCTGAATTCAGCCCTGAGTGTTGTCTCTCAGAGGTCATCCTTATTTTTTGAGACAGGGTCTCTTTGTGCTTAGTATGGTGACTTTCAAGAGTTGGTTCCCTTCCTCTTCCACAGCAATTCGGGTCAAACTCGGGTCGTCAGGCTGTGGTCTTTACCCACTTAGTCATCGTGAGGGCCCTGGCTAGGCAAGCTCTTAGGACAGTATTATTTATAGTTTACTCCAAATGGCAAACTGCTCCCCCCCCACTTCCCCCCAAAAAACTGTCAGTTTTTAAAGTTGCTTTTAAAATTTTTTATAAGAATCTGTTTTTCTTTTTTAGGCCATAATGCAACAGGGAGATACATCCATAAAGCCCATCCTTCAAGTCATTGTAAGTATCTGCCTGTGTGTTGAGCCAAACGAACAGGTTTTAACTCATATATAATTAAAATTTACATTTGATGAAAGACACACAGTTTTGTCTACTTCCCAGAATACACACGCACATTCTCTCTCTCCCCTCTTCCCAGAACACAGACTCACATTCTCTCTCTCACATACACAAACAGATACTGTAGTTTTTGGTTTGGTTTGGTGGGTTCAAAAATGTGTCATTCTGCCCGAATGTTGCCATTCTTTCTGCATGTTCCCTAAAACAGTTCCTTGCATGTGTTAGGTGACATGTTATACATAATTTTGAGATACAGAAGAGAGAACACAATTACTGATACTTCATTTTATATTGTTTTCATAATGTTCGTGGAGAGCGTTTGGAGGAAAAATCGTCAGTGCGGTTTTCTTTCATTTGTATTTGGGTGTCAGGAGGATGGGCGAACAGTTCGTCTTGTCTTAAACTAGTGGCAGATCCACTCTCCTGCCACTTCGGTTCACTTACCCTTAGGGATTGGGCAGAGAGCCTGCTTAATGAATCAACTTTTCTATCAACTCTTCTAGAACATCCGTCCCATTACTACAGGGAATAGCCCACCCCGGTATCGACTGCTTATGAGTGATGGGTTGAACACACTCTCCTGTGAGTATGATGAATAAATCTTGGCTCTGGGAATACTTGGAAAACAGCAGCACGCCCTACCCTTGATTGCAGTGTTTTGAGGCCCTGAAGCTCACACTGGCTGGGGGCTTTGTTCAGGCAGCGTTGCCGCTGGCAGAGCCGCTCTGACAATAGACCGGTATAGTGGAAAGCTGCCATTCAGCTTAATTAATTTTCTCTAACTGGTGTTGTATGTTTTCTTTGATTAATTTCCCTGAGGATAGTATTGACATTTTGTGTGATGGGTGAGCTGTCCTATACTTCCTTTTTTCAGGAGTTTTATTTCTGTCCTAGAAGCTTTAAAAAGAAGGTGGAGGCCCTTCCGGAATATTTTCTGGTGTCTGTAGTCACAGTATTAAAGCCCTGGAAAGGATTGCCTTCATTTTCCCCAGAAACTGGAATGACAGTAAAAATGATTTGTGGCCTTTGAGGAACAGATAACATTTAGGAGTAGCCACAGACTAACATGGGACAGATTTGTGCTGCTTCTCTATGCAGAGTCTGAGGAGTTTTAACAGCTGTGATGATTTTTGCTTGTTGCCTTTCGCTTAAGGCTGGAAGGGCTTGGAGGCTGAAGTTCTCTCTTTGCTTTGCAGCTTTCATGTTGGCCACACAGCTGAACCCTCTTGTTGAGAAGGAGGAGCTGGCCAGCAACTGTATTTGCCAGATCAACCGGTTCATCGTTAATACCCTGAAAGATGGAAGGTATGCGTTTCGTTCTCCGCTTGTTTGCTTTGTAGAGTGGGGACTAAAGTTTGAACTGAGAAGGTGCCAGGTGCTAACATTCAGATAGGAATTTTAATTTAACAAGGCAGTTAGTCACAGCTGAACTCTGTGACTAACTGTGGCATCGAGGGAGAAATACAGAAGAAAACAAATTGGAAACCTCAAAGAACAGATTGAAATAGAATGCATAGTTCTGCTTATTTCTGTTTTTTTTCATCATTATTGTAGTAATTTTTATGGTTGCTGGGAATTGAACTCAGGACCTCTGAAGAACAGCCAGTGTTCCTAATGTCTGAACCATCTCCCCAGCCCCTCTTTTATTTTTGAGGCAAGGTCTCACTGTGTAGCCCTGGCTAGCTGAAGCTCACTATATAGTAGCGGTCACTTCCTATAGCAAAAAGAAGCATTTAAGTGTACAGTCTGGTTCCTTTTTTGTCATCTTGAGTCTTCCATAGTAACTGTGTTTGGCCAATGTAGAATGTGGTTCCATACTTGCAAGATGTTACATGCTAGAAATACAATGTGAGTAGAATTGCTATTCCCATTGCCAAAAAAAGGTCTCACTTTTGAAAAAAAGACTGTATTTTAGGGAGAGTTTTGTATACTTCTTTCTCATTTTTTATTTTCAATGATAGAATACATCCAAAATGCATGGGAATCAAACATGATAAACATTCTGGTGTACATGAAGTTATGCCACTATATGTTATATTACCTGTATGTGTGTATATAAGTATGTGTGTGTTTGTGTATGCTTAAAGATTTTATGTGTGTGTTTTTGTCTACATGTATACTTGGACATCAGAAGAGGGCATCGAATCCCATAAGACTACAGTTAAAATTGTGAGCTGCCTTGTTGGTGCTGGGAATTGGGCTCAGGACCTCTGAAGAGCAGTCAGTGTTCCTAATGTCTGAACCATCTCTCCAGCCCCTGTTTTATTTTATTTTTGAGGCAAGGTCTCACTGTGTAGCCCTGGCTAGCTGGAGCTCACTATATAGACCAGTCCAGCCTCTACCTCAAAGAGATCTGCCTGTCTCTGCCTCCTGAGTGCTGGGATTAAAGGCGTGGTTATGAACAGCCTTGTGGTTGTTCTCTCCAAGAGAAGCAAGTGCTCTTAGCCACCTAGCCATCTCTTCTCCAGTCTGTACGTACCGTGTGGGTGGGTGGGTGGGTATGGTTTGTTGGTTTGCTTGCTTTGCTTTGTCTCTTGTCATGAATTGATAATTTCTGGGGTTTTGTTTTGTTTTGTTGTTTTTCAAGACAGGTTTCTCTGTGTAGCCCTGGCTGTCCTGGAATTAGGTCTGTATAGACCATACTGCCCTTGAACTCAAGAGATCCTCCTGCCTCTGCCTCCCAAGTGATGGAATTAAAGGCATGCACCAAGGATATTTTAAAGTACTGTTTAAAATTTAAAGGTCAGTATTGTTACCACACTCCCAAATAAAGCAAGTCTTAAAGTGGTCTTTGTGGTGTTAAAGCGCTGAGGATAGCCAGGACCTTAGGCAAGCAGTGTACCCCTGAGCTGCGTCCCTAGCAGCTCATCCTGTATGTCACTGTTTACGCAGGTTACCTGTGCACTGTTTTCAGCTTACTGTTGGCTCTGTGGCTGAACTTCCTGTTTGCTTGTTCATTATCTGTCTCCTCCCTTCCTTTCTTCCTCCCTCCCTCTCTCCCTTCCTTATCTTTTTTTTAAAGATTTATTTATTTATTTTATGTATATGAGTGCTCTATCTGTATGTACACTTGCACACCAGAAGAGGGCATCAGATCCCAGTATAGATGGTTGTGAGCCACCGTGTGGGTGCTAGGAATTGAACTCAGGCCCTCTGGAAGAGCAGCCAGTGCTCTTAACCTCTGAGCCATCTCTCCAGCCCCCCTTCCTTATCTTATCCCATGAATCTGAGTTTGATTCAAAAAGCCAGGTACAGTAGCATGAGGTCATAATCCTAGTAGGAGAATGAGGCAGAGATAGGTGGGTCCCTGCTGTTTCCTTGATTGCCAGTGTAGCCAACTTGGGAATCCTTGGGTGAGACTGAGAGACTGTCTCAGAAAATAAGGCAGGTAGCTAGTGAAGTGGGGTGTGGGGGGAAACGCTTGCGGCAGGCCCGAGGCCCTTGTTCAGTCCCGTGCTGGCAGGAGAGAACCAGCTCTCCAGCAGTCCTCTCTGGACTGCGTGCAGCGTGTGCATGCACACAGTAAAGGAATATTGTTGAAGAGGAAAATGGGATGGGGGTTGGGAACGAGCCTCCTCTGGCGAAACGCTTGCCTGGCATTCACACTAACCCTGGGCTCGGCTGGCAGCACATTATAAACCAGCTGTATGCTTGTAATCCCAGGATTTTTGGTAGTCGGGAGGGACTGAAAAGGTCATCTTTGAATGTAGGAAATTCTAGGCCAGCCTGGGCTACGTGAGACATTATCTGAAGCAAAGGGAAAATCAAAGTGGATGGGTCCTGAATATTGTTACCTGAGGTTGACCTCTGGCCTCCACATGCATGTGACACCTGTTCACACACTCCCACGAAAGAACCTGTGATCATGTTTGGTTCTCAGTGAGACCATTGTACTCAGAATCTCAGGTTTGTAGTCACCGCTGTGTCCAGGGAGCCTTCTTTGTGTGAGGCAACATGAGGCGGTGCAGTGAAGAGACAGCAGAGAAGCGTGCACTAAAATAACAGTGCCAAACACCGTGGTGGATACGCACCATCAGGAAGCGTGACTTTACGTGCCCTCCTGGTGGTGTGGTTTGCTCCAGCATCCAGAGACTTGTGTGCTGTTTCTGTGTGAGCGAGCAGTACTTTTACTGCGGTTTGTGTTCATAGTCCTTTCTCCCGCTGTAGGGGATAAAACCCAGGGCTTCTTGCATATTAGGGAGCACTCTCTTACCTGGTTTGCTGTGTGCCTACCCGCTTCCATCGGTTTTGAGTCAGTGTCTAAGCTGTACTGGCTGGCCTTTAGAGTTGTGGCGCTTTTGGCACTTCTGCATGTGCTGTCATTATAGGCGTGTACCATCGTCCATCATCTTAGCCAACAGACTGCGCATTATGGATAATCTCAAGCACACGACTCAAGTTTGTTTGTATTTTAAAGTATTGAATGTTCTATTAGTTACCTTTTTGGTTGGTATGACAGAGGAGCTTGATAAAGCAACTTAGGGAAGGGGTTCCTTTGGTTCACAGATTGAGGGTACGGTCCGACATGGCACCAGGTGAAGCACCAGGTCACATTGTAACCACAGACAGGAAGGCCAAAGCAGTGAATGCTGGTACGCAGCTCACGTCTCCTTTTTACTTCTTCTGGGACCTCAGTCCATAGAATGGTGCCACCCACATTTATGGGGGTCTTCCCGTCTCAGTTAGCCTAACCTAAAGACCCCTTGAGGGGTATGCCCAGAGATTTGCCTGCTGTAGTTCTAGGTCCTGTCAAGTTGGCAGTACCAGCTGTCAGATGTGTAATGTTATTTTGACCTGTTTTTCCTTGGGCTTTTGAGCTGACTGTTTCAGTTTATCTTTGGTTCTTGTTTTAATGAATTCAGTCTATTTTATGTCTCCCTTCTGGGAAGCATCTCTCTCTCGGCTCAGGCTTTCTCGTATGCCAGGTTCTTTGTCTTTTGTGTGCCTCCGTTTCATTTCCTACATGGTGTGTTAAATTGTTGCTGTGCCTTTTCCTCTTGTACATGCTTAATGTGGACAGTTCTGCCAGACTTCGTATTTGTTCTGCCACTGTCTAGGCAAGACGCATCTTCTCGCCAGCCCGCCTGCCTGGGGTCTGTTTCCTTCCACTTCATGCTATCTTGAGTGCTACAAGCAGTGCTTTGGCTTCTAGGACATGGTTGTGGGAGAGGCTAGAGAGCTCTTCTCGGGTCAGCTTCAGCCCTTTTCGGGAGCCCCTGCGAAGCCTCTCTCCACTGAGTACAGTTCTGTTCATGGTCCACCCTGACTCATACTGCAACATATCGAATGAATGTTCTTTCATGCTTCTGCTGAGAGCCTGTGTGTGCCTGAATATCTGTTCCTTTATGGTCGTCATCCAGGCTTGTTCCTTATTTATTTTTAACATATTTATTTTACGTGACTGGATCTTTGGCTGCATATACATATATTTCTGTGTACCACATGTGTACCTAGAGCCTGTGGAGGCCAGAGGACCCCTTGGAGTTCCAAATGGTGTTGAGCTGCCATATGGGTACTGGGACTTGAACCTGGGCCCTCTAGAAGAGCAGCTGGTGCTCTTAGGCACTGAGCCATCTCTCTAGCCCCCTGTGTGTTTGGGACACATCTTGCTACAACTTTAAGGCCTCAGACTTTGAGGCTAGCGTTAGGTTTAGTAGAAGGCTGGCTTTGATCCCACAGTCCTTCTGCCTCTCAGATTCCTGAGTTCTGAGATTACAAACTACACCATCAATCCCAGCTTAATTCTTTAAAATAATTGTCTTGTTTTATTTATACCTGTTAATACAGTTATATGTTAATTGACTGTAGCTTTTCTCTATGGTTTATGTACTTGCTCTTCAATTTTTTATTTTAAAATTTTGAAGTTTCTGTTATACTTTATTACTAGTTGTGTGTATGAAAAAGTGAGAGAGAGAAAGACGGAATAAGAGAGATGGGGAGAGATATTTAAATGTTAGAAAAAATGCATGCCCTGCACTGAGCTCCATCCTTTACTTTTAGAGACAAGTCTTGCTAAGTGGCCAAGGCTGGCCCTTGAACTTGAGGTCATCCTGCCTCAACCTTGCAGTTAATTGGGATTATAGACCCGGGCCTCTAGGCCCAGCACATTTGATTGTCTTGTTTTTCAGTTTACCGGCTGTTGGGCTGTTTGCATCTGTTCGCGTTTTGAATAATGTGCTGAAGATTACTGTACAAGTCTGTATGTGGTTGGCCCTCCTGTGGCTTTCCAGTCCGTGCACTCCCCTGATGACTGGCCAGAAGTACCCAGGGGAAGCACTGCATCTGAACTGTACAGGCATTTTCTT